TATATATATATATATATATATATATTCACACACCTCTGAATCCAGACTGTGTGCCAAAACAAACCATGGTACAATAATCTTTATGAAAAAGAAAGACGTTTCATGATTTGGATGTGGGCGGAATAATGCCAGGTTACCCATGCTACCATGCTACACTAAAACTCAAACTATCCAGAAGAGATTGCAGCTTACCTGGATCTTCACTACAGTACGATGTCAGCTCCATACTTCGGATCAGACAGTCTGCCATCTGGGAGCAAATCGATGCTACTATCGTCGCACACGACGAATAAACACCGATAATTCGTTCTGTGACTGTTTACCTGTATTAACCCGGTGGGATATCTAGCGCACAGTTGGCACATGACTGGAATCCAGTCAAGAAGCGAGCAATCAGCCATGTCGCAATCCCAACACCAGAAAAACCGCGAGTTTCGAATGCCGAATCGCCTGACACACGGTGAGTGAAGCGTGAAGATGAGGTTGAATTCGGAGATCGCAAGGTGACAACTAAAGTGGGGCTTTGTATGTGAGTTTCAGCATAAGTCTAAATCGAAGTTTCCAGAATTCTAGCTAAGGCAGCTTAGTGGTCGATCTGACAGCCAAGTGAAATGGAGGTTCTGGATTTATCGGCGCTATAAATTTTGGCTGGTCGACCTTGATGACGTTATTGTGATACCCCATGGGTGACGCAAACAGAAGGCATCTCGTACGATTCGGGAGCAAGAGGAAGAACTAGAGAGATTAGAGAGAGTTTTCCCAATGGGAGTCCTAGACTTTAGGGCACGACATACTTCGCGGTAGCCCCCGGCGACGAATGGAGTTTTATTGAAGAACCCTAACCAGAGTCTTGGACTCAAGCGTTTCACCCACAAAACAGTGGGGTGTAGATTCAACGCAGGAGTCTGACCGAAGCACCTATGTAGGAGCTTTTAGAGACCTGACATGCAAGGACCTTTGGTCGGTTGTGATGGAAAATTTAGTACATCGGGACACCGATCAATATAGATCCCTCAGACTGATCTCCAAGGTGGGGGTTGTGAAAGTATCGTCTTAATAACTGCACCGAATGACCCTCCTGTATGAGTCGCAAGATCTCTTACCATTTACTTACAAATCCAGTCCATTCATACTTGATACTTTTATCATATTGTGCAATCCGTTGCATCCATCGTAGACAGGGCTAAAAATACTGCTCGTTTGACTTTTCTTGAGTGTGCCGCATCGCCAGCTCAACTCGTAGATTGTGCGCCGAGTAATGACCTAGGCGGCGCTTCAACCTGGGCTCAAATCACATCATCTCATATTTCGTGCAAGATCAAACATATTTCTAAGTGTTTTGGAATCCCTAGTCAAGAGAACATAAGCTATCATCGACACGATCTAATACAATAAGGGATCTGACAGAAAACAGCTTGGCAATTTACGTGCTAATTTGAACAATAAATCGTAATATCCTTTTCCAGTTAGATACAAACACAGTAACAAGATTGAGATGAAGCGAAGCTTGAAATTGTACGTGGGAGCTTGAAGATGAACAGAGTGAGTTAGAGTGTACACAACACTATGAAGAACGGCTATGTGGGAATGGATGTGCTTCAGTCAAACCATTTATAATTAACTGTGGTTGAGTGAAAAATGACCGTTCGGGAGGTGAATTTTTGAAACAAATCCCTCTCCAAAGAATGGCAGATTTCGTTTCTTCATACAAAATTTTGATTGACTCCCACAACACCTCATCAACAGAAACATATCCGCATAAACAAAGCGTAACCTATTCAGCAATCAATAAATGAGGCGCCACCAAATTTCGTTTGTAAAATGTGCCATCTATAAATAGAATGTAAATGAAATGCGTACTGGAACGGAAGCTGTCGAGCGTACACATTGGTGCCAAATCGTGCTTTATGTTCTATGGAACCTAGCAAAGTTTAAGGAACATCTTAAGGATGCACACACCCAACCTGAGATGCAGCACACATGTTCGATGCGCGTCAATGCTTTACTCGTAATTACTGAGTAGTAAGGTGTGCAAATTGGAAACTCTGTCCACGAAATATACAAAGATTCGCTAATCTTGGGGATCCACTGGCTTCCAGTCACACTGAATTGTCCGAAATAAGAAGTTCAAAGTTTTACTATGGGAATAACTTACAAGCTCAGGCTCTTCTCGTCCAATAGGCTCGTTTTGTGGTTAAAAGACAGTAATACACACAATTCGTTGTGTAAAATGTCACATGATACATGCTTCGTCCACTGCTGTACGCAGCTCCACTTATGTTGGAATGTAAGGTGTGCTAATGCTTCATCAAGTCTCAGTTTGAAAGATCCAATGCTTGCCGTACAGACGACGTGGGGTGGGAGAGAGTTCCAGATCGATCGCAGTGACTGCAAATGACTGACGCCGGCATGCCAATCGGCATCTTGAAACCACTAGTTTGAAGGTATGTCCTCTAAGATCAACGTCGGATGATAATTTAAGCAACGGGCGGCATGGATGGCTTGGGTTTGCATTATTTGGTATACCGTAATCATGTCTCCTCTGATGCGCCGATAGTGATTGGAGTATAACCTCAAGGACTCTAGTCTATCTGCGTATCAATGGCGATTCAACCCGTTAACCATTTTAGTGGCGTGCTAGTCGTATAAAAGCCATTCAAGAAACGAATAGCATACAGTGGCAACAAATCATGGAAAATAAAAAAGGACTACTTGATTGTGCATAAACAGTGTTGTTCTGGTGAACAGGAATTCGATTATGGAGACTTTTGGTATTCAATCAATTACTGAGCTTGATTCTAAGGTCACTATTCAACAGCGCCATTTTCCTTTCTGATTTCAGGGAAAATCAGTACACTGGCTTTTTGTGTACTCAACAAAGCTAGAAAAAGAAGTACTAAGTGTTACACCATGGTCGGGGATTGATCGACATCTTTTCTCGCAATTACGCTGATAAATCGAATCACGATTTGAGTCTAAAACAGATTTTGAGAAAACTGTTTCAGTCATTCTTCAAACTTGTGAAACATTTTGGTAGGCAGACTATTGATTTTGTTGAACTTGTTACGGATGAGGCGTGCTTTGGTTCGTGAAATCTGACAGTATCGAGCCAATTTTTTGAAATACCTTTTGATTATTTTTTTAAATTTTGAGCGACTAACTCCTGCTTGAGGACAATTTGACTTATTGAATGTCCGTGATGATGGCAGTCCACACGTGACGATCAGTGGCAGGGTTGTTGTAATGTAAAACCAAGTTTTGATTTCAGTTACGAGTACCTCATATGGATTGGAGAATCAATCAATCCTTATCCGCCTTGACCGTATTACTCCTGTTTTACAACCATGAGTGAGGAGAGAAAGGGAATGGAAAACCGGTGAGCCCGAAGCTTGATGAGCAGACACAATTCGCATCGTTTTCACAACGGTTTGGAAAGTTGAAAGAAGATTCCTTTAGCTCTATCTTCACAGAATTGAGTTTAATCCTTAGCCTGGTCGCTTGGTCCGATTGTAGAATACTTGAAAACAGGGGTTGATTTGACAAGCACCCCGTTATTTAACAGGGGTTATGTCGCGATATGCGTTGTTGTCGAAAATGTATTGGTTTTCGACGTCTTGATCTCTAGCCTAATGGTCTGGGAAAGCATCAGACAACAGACAGTCTGCAGTGTCCCTAAGCACGAGGACATCGCCCACAAACTCGAGGTCCGCGATTCATACACCTTGGTCAAGCTGCAATCCGGGGTAGCCATTGAGTGTTTGTCGTATTATCCAATCTACGGTGTTGTTAAACAACAGTGGTGGTATGGGACAGCCTTGTATGACTTCAGAGCCTAATGTGAACTCAGGTGAGTTGAACGAACAAAGAAAAAAGTGAACGACCATAAGCTGTTTGTTCACCTCGGTGGACTCTCTTTTTCGATGCACCCTCCAGTGGGATAGCCTTAATGACTTAACTACCCCACCAAAAAAGCTCGGTATTCATTATCGGTTGTGTTATGTATGTAGTTGGTGGGATAATGTGTGTAAGTAATTCCTTGAGTAACCAGCTTCATAAGCACCTAAGTACAGTCGGCGGGTGAACCAAATCATCACAAGGAATCGGACTGTGGCTAAGTGGGCCAGTCGAACAGGCAAGCAATCACGGCCAGCTCAATGCGGAAGCATGATTGGCTGAAGAAAAATCTATCTTTATATGAATTGGATCTGCATGTGGTGGCAGTCAGTGTCGGACGATCAATCGATCAATGAATCAACAACGAAACAGGTACGTGCAGTCAACGCATTCATTCTTGATAGACCAAGAACGGGGAATTGACCGAAGTACTTACGACAATAGAGAATGGATAATGAGTGAAACTTGGAAAATAAGCACCTGTCTTTTTGGACCGATTTCGCATTTACAATTGTTCTAATGATAATTGTAAAAATGGTGAGGACTATGATGAGTCGAATCAAACTTCGATTTCGCACATTGTAGACTCAGTGTACCCTGTATATGTCGGAGGACCAAATGAAACCAACCAAAACCATCATTGCCTCCTAAACACGGCACATCTTCGATTCCACGGAACCAATCAGGTTGAGTTTTCGAAAAAATGACAAAGGAATGAGAACGGACTGATATATGATATTTGGTCATCTAGCCAGATACTTTATTTCTAATAGTGAGAAATTGCCACAAGGAGGGGTCAGTTACCGAGTTGGATGACTCACTATTTCAGAATTCGATGGATTAATCGGAATTCCGACCATACTGTTTCGAGGTTTCTTTAGCTCACTCGGACGAGCGGTGCTAGTTCCGTTCGTTAGTGCCACAGGAGCATCCTCGGACCCGATGGGTAGAGGTTCTGGAACGGAGATTGATTCTGACGATTTCCCGCCGACCGTGGAATTCGAATTGGCATTCGATTTTGCCAGTACAGAGTCCGGAACGTTGGGAGCGGTTAGTAACAGTTGACACTTGGTCAGACGAAATGTGAGCGGTGTACTCGGTTCCAAATTTGGCTGTTCCATAGGGGAGGTTATTTGGAATGTGCTATCATGCAAATCCATGCATGCAACTCGGATCGCAAAGATAACTGTGCTGCATGGGAAAAGCAAATAGGGAAGGACGAGTGAAACTTTTAATGATCAGGATTAAACTTCTTTGGGGAACAAAGAACAACAGAAGTATACAAATTAATTTTGGATTGAGATAAATTGATGGAAGCACGCCATTGGCAATAGGCAACTAACTGCACAATGCCAAAAAAAAAACAGAAAAAACAAACAAAGAACCACGAATGTTCTGGTATAAAAGCTTGAGTTGAGAATATTAAAAAGCGCATCATAATGGTGAAACGTATCAGATTAACAACGCAGAAGAGCCCAACAATGAGGGAATACTTTCCCACTGGAAAAAATAAATAATAAATGTGAAAATTAGAAAACCATTAGATTTAATGAATCCGGATCCAGTGGTTCCGAGATTCACATACACAAACGTGCGTGTGTGCTCTTCAACTAGTAGAAAGACGAAAGATTTCGCATTGGTGTCTTCAAATTAGGGGAAGGGTGCGAACGGAACGTGTTCATGTAACTTTGTGTTCTTTCTTCTGAGATTCAATGGGGATTTCAATTGAGGTGGAATTTCGTCATGTAGTGGTTCCCGTAAGTGTAGCGATGTTTTTATTACATCGATGGTTGCCTACATGGTGAAAGATGTTGAGAGATGGTTTTGCGGATGCTTAATCCTGTTAATTTTGCAAGAAACTGAAACCTCAGATTCGAGCTCTCTTAGTGCATATAAATCACTGGATGAACTGAGGATTGTGTGTGCAGATTAAAAAACCCGGAGCACGGACAATGAAAGAAACTATCATTTGCAAGCAATAAAGAATAGAATATAAATATTCATGTTTGCGTATTTAAACAGGCGAATATCGTTTCCTCCACACAAAGGAAAAAGTTAAAAAAACAGTCTAATGCGCGTTTAGCACAGCAGTGCGAAAATCAAACGAGGAAAATGTAACGAGACAGCCCAGTCCACTGGGTACGGAGAATCACAAACGTTTGAAGCTAACACCTAGGTTAGTAAAGAAATAAAGGAAGGACTGAACTCCGACTTACTCGGTCTTCTGGAATGTGTACACGCTCAATGTGAGCGCCAATGGTCGGATAATGCACACCGGAATTCGATACAAATAACCCGAGGGCATTGAAATTGCAAACTGCAAATGACGGGAACACCAGTGCATTATCATTACGGTGAAGTGAAAGCAGAAAGGAACGTGCCCGCCCAAACAAATAAGTTCATATGTGCACAGTTTCATTTTACATGAATTACCGTTTTCAATTAGAGATCCGCTTTTAGGAACAGGGGTGTATAAAATACACAAATCTGCTACATAAGCACACTGATCAAGTAAGAATGATCCATTCGAGATTCAGTTTTAGTTGCATCCCCGTGCAGTGATTTTTGATTGTCAGTCGGTCAATAAAGCAATAGGTAGAACTAAACGGTCTGGTAACAGCAGACGGTCATAGCCTCGATCTTTACCTCACATCCAACCCACAATTATTTTCAAATGTTACTGCAATTGCTCCACTATGCTCAACGGACCATTGTCTTATTTCGCTCTCTACCCAAATTATTTGTTCCAACGTTTCTCCCAATTCTAGACGCACATTTTGGCGATATGGTTCCGCTGATTGGTGCAGCTTTCGTAGCTCTCTGGCTTCCTACCCCTGGAATGAATGTTGCTTTTCCACCCATGTCTCCATCTCCCGTTAGAAGTTCTCCAAAGTTCTTTTACAAGGCATGCACCTATTTGTTCCTCATTTCACCAAACCCGACAAGCCTCTTTCTCCAGAATGGTTCACACCTGTTGATGCGCTGTTTGTAAAAAGAAATCGGCGCTCCACCGCTGGTGTCGATCATTTCCCCTCAGCTCTCGCTGACGGTTCTTGTTAGCACCTAACAAATGTACAACAATCATACAGAAGGCTAAGGAGCACTTTGTTGAATGCAAAGCAGCAC